AACATGTTTTATTATAATGTTTGCTTAACAAAATACAACAAACTGAAGAAAAGGGACGAACATTAATGTCAAACAAATATGTATCCTCATTCATCTCGATTTTTTTTTGTGTGTGAAATCTACGTCTTTTATTCTCAAAACTACGTGTCATGGCCTTTATTTAACGTATTCCGCTTTGTGAAAAATTTGTACGTGATGGAGAAAAATAGATATCATTTTCGGGTTCAGCATACAGGAATTACTATAGAACACGTAAAAATTTTAAGACAATAAAATCACCGCAGGTCTGTGTAATTAATATCCAATATTGAATGAAATAATCATCTCTTATAATACTTAATATTGTTTGATTTGTTTCTGATAGAGAACAAAGAACATTCGTTGTACTGTTCAGATGTTTTTGTATTATGTTTCTATGATAAAACTAGCAGTCTTTTTCAAGGTAAAACCTGTACTCAAAGTCCAGTTAATTTATAAAATATTCAAATACTTAATATTCCCTCTTGAACGTAATTATCAACTTCTATAAGCCTTACAAATGTTTGATTTGCTTGTGATAGGGAATAATAAATATTTTCATTAACAAAAACTTTCGACTTGAAGTTCGAGGCGTTTAACATCTGAACTATATCCAAGTACAGAAAAGCTGTCTTGTCTCGTAAATGCAAAGCCTTTTGACACAATGTTTCATTAATCGAGTCTTGAGAAAGGGGACAATCACATATCCAATATTTGTTTAATTTCAGCAAATAATAATCTAAAGAATACTTTTGGCCTCATTGTTATAACACAATCGTTCTTACGTACAGTCAAAGTATTAAGTATGTCATGTTTCGAAGAAACAAAAATATGGTATAAAAAAAAAAGAGTTCAAAACTCAAAAGTAATACATTTTCCCGTTGTTTCAAGCAGAACAAAAAGAAGCTTCAAAGGTCTTTATTAAATAAAGAATACAAAATATAACGTATATAACACGATCGTGGTAGCGCGCTGGCTTAATCGCAATATTATTGTATGTAACTATGATAATAATACAGTTTTTTCTTTTACTAAGTCTAATTATCAACAAGTACTTTATCAATTCATTTAAACTAACAGTTTTAAACATTCACTGTAACCAGTTCACAAAACTATAATAACACACATTTATATAAGTTTATATTAATAATCAATTTCCACTGTACACAAACCGGTATCCCTGCACTGATTTTACCAACTGAGCTTCAGTACAAAAGTGTCACCGATTTGTTTTACAAACTTGTCGCGCTTGTGATTATTTTCTGCCTTGAGTTTTAAGAAGAAATGGGGAAAAATCAGATGTAGGCCTATTAAATAACTAAAAACATAAAATAAATATCTCTATTTAGCGAGTGTCTCAAGTAAAATCAGAAAAAATATTAAACAATGAGTTTCTTATAAGGATATATAGATTCGTTAATCCATATCCGAATGACACCTTAGTTGCATGGTACGTTTGTTGAACACTAAACATTTGAAGGTAGACAAACCGTATGACTTTAACCACAAGTAAATTTCGTTCAACTTGACTGGCGTTGTGCCATCATCATGCTAAAGTCTTGAACAATCTTCATCCTGCTTTGAAAATAAAGTTCCCGGGCTTCTACAAACTGTTAAATAACTACAAAACTTGAATTCAGTTGATGGTATTTTTCGTTTCTATCTTTTCAACTAAAACTACGTGAAATTATTTAAAACCCATTGTTCATAAAATGTCTTTTTTCTTGTTTTTCTGTTTCTAAACTTTTATTTTCTCACTTGCTGATGAAAGAAAAGATTAATCTACGTTTTACTGCTCACACTTTGCCGGAAGGAGATATGTTTAAGATATCATTTTCAGTAATTATTTTTAGAATAAGTAATAGAAAAATAAATAAATAATTTATATAGTAATGGTACTGTATACTTGCCCGCAGTAATTTTTGTGGCGACGAATAACAGCTTTTACTAATAATCCTCAACTTCTCGAAAACATATCATATACCATCTATGTGAAAAAGAAATATCAATACTTTATTCAAGCGTTTAGGAGTATTTAAGGGGGGTGGGGAGAAGTTCTAAATATGGAAAATGTTAACATCGATTTTTCAGTTTCCTTACCTCAAAAAGAAATGGGGGTTTTATGTTAAAAAATAAATATTTCTCCTGAATCTATAACTAAATAATAATTAAACGGCATGTTTATGCAACAGAGCCCTTGTGTATATTGTGAAACTACAGATATAGCCAACATAAAAAGTGATCGCTTGCCTTATGTACTGTTGTACCCAGAGTGTTGTAGTCTATTATTTAGACGGCTTCTTGAATAAAGCGAACTTTCACAATATGTTATACTCAGCTTAAACTCAATGGTTAAGACTTTTAACCATTGCAAACTATAGCAGCTACTAGTCCAATACCACACTTTGCTTTAGGTTATATTTCTATACTCATTAAAATACAGAACGAGTACCAAAAGGTTTGACTAATATATATATCATTTTGCAAGTTCACGTTTGTACGTTAATAAACATAAGAAACTGTTATTAATCAGTTTTAAACTACTACATTGTTCCGTTAACGTTATCTCAGTTTGGGAGAAACAAGATAGAACTGTAAAGTATCCTACACTATTG